GGCTGTGCTTGAAAAGTTACATGGCGTTTTCCGGTCTTGGAGATTGCTGAGGGGATGGGCAAGCGATCACCAACTGAGTCGCGATTGGCCACCTGAACCGATCAGCCAATTGGAGCCAAAACGGGAGGAGCTACAGTCCTGCAGCCAATCGCTGTTTTTGGTGGTAATCGCTCGCCCAGCCCCCTCAGCAATTTCCAAGGCCGAAAAAGGCCAAAAAACATTTTTTTTTGTTTTTAAGCACAATCCCGTACTCAGCGGAACCAGAAGGCCACGTAGGTGTGAAAAGCTCGCAATTTTTCCTAGCCACACTCTTTGACATCCATCGTCATATTTGAATGAACAGAGTGCAGTGGAAGAGTCAGTATTGCAAGCAATAAAAGCAGAACTAGTAAAGACAGATTGAACAAAGCTCTTTGTGGTTGGCGGATCATTCATCATATCGTTGTTTATATTACTAATTACTCTATGATACCTGAATGGCACTAAATTTCACCAGATCCATATCAAATGCAGTCATAATTGAGTCGAGGTATACGTTGGCTAGCAAATTGACCTAGCGAAGCTCATTTTTGCTTGTAGACATGCTAAGTAAACTTGGTTACGTCTCTGATTGAGTGCGATTTACCCTAAGACAATATAATCTATGCAGCAAGCTTAATTGGTGCGTGGGCAGAAAAGTGACGATGAGATGCTGTCCACAATATTTTCCCTATTCGCTGTTCTCCGAGCATGAAAAAGTGTTGTGGAGTGCATTTTAGCAAAAACATCTGACTGCTAAAAGCATACCCCTCAGGCAGATATCGAAGAGGAATCTCTGGAAATGACATGCGTGGTCATTCAAAGATTCACAAATCAAACATCAATTGGAAATTGGATAGAAAATGAGATTAGAAAGTCAAAACCTTAGGATATCACATTTTAGCTGGAATGCACACATGACGTGAGAAAAAGACGTAAGTGAAGGGATAGAATGTTAAAAATGCTATCATAACCTGAGCGAATAGACACAGTGTAAGAGAACGAAGTTGTCAAATCCAGAATATTTCAATGTCTCGTAAGGTTAAATGTTTATAGTTCGCCTTTGAATGAAAAAAATGAGTAATTTATACTTGTAAAAAATACCGGATAAAAGATTCGCGATCTCAGAGACGTCAGCAATTTTGTTGCTGAGCACATATTTAATTCCATGGCAATCTTGAATTTTGAAGGAGTGATTAGAAAACAGCTCAGACAGCGGATCGGACCCCTCCGCCGGAGAAGTGGCAGGGTCGCGGCGTATCCCCAGCGGTGGGTCTCCCATTTGTCCGGCGGAGCCCCCCCATCTTCTGCTCCGGATACCCCCTATTTTCTGCTCCGGATACCCCCCATTTTCTGCTCCGGATACCTCCCATTTCTGCTCCGGACCCCTCCGATTTTCTCCGGCGCGTGTCTTCCAAATTTGGCGGACACGCGCCGCGCAGACCTCTGCGGCGCGGAGTCCGTCAAATCTGGCAGAGTCGCGCCGGAGAAATGGCGGACCTTTGCAGCAGGGCCGGAGAAGCCTCCCATTTGCCTGCCAGTGATGCCACCGCGATGGACCGCCCATTTGCCCTTCTCTCATTGGTCAACTGGGTCCGGCGCGACCCTGGCAGTTTCCGAGGGTCCGGCGGAGGGGTCCGATCGATTGTCTGAGAGACATCCTATGTAGTGGAAATGCTTTTATATTTATATTTATATTCTGCACTCGCATCGCCAAGAAACAAAATTGTAAAGTAAGACATTTTGATGATAGTTTGATGTAGTCAGTTTTCTAGGGATAGAGCGCAAAAGCAACTTTCAGTTTGGAAAAAAATTTGGAAATCCACCAAAAGAGGAATCTACTGGAAGCTGATCACACTTTTCACTAAATCTTCATTTAGGATATGAGCTTCTTTTGATTAGTATGTAAGGTTTCCTACATTAAAGGAGATAAACTGATACAAAGCCATAAAATTTTGAGTGTTTTTACCCAGCCGTAAATGTGTTCCAAATGCAAATTCTAATATATTTCTTATTTTCAACCTCGTACGCAACTTCTTTCACCTCGTTGAATTCGGTGCCAGAAAGGATTCGCAACGAATCCCAAGAAGGTTTAGCTAAAGAGTTGGCGGAGATGATTCATGGAAAGATGAGCTTGTCATCAATTCTGCAAAGCTTCAAGCTTATTATCGTCTGTAGCCAAAATTCCTTAATCTAACACAAAAAAAAGTGAGGACTATGAATGTTTTACTTTATCCATGATTCATGTGAGTGTGCTTGACTTTGTGAGAGTTCACTTCTCTCAAAACGATTGTTATCTGAGAAGAGAGAATACCACAGATGGGGAATGACTAACAATAAGGCAAGAAAGTATAGGGATTATTTTTCACTGTACTGTTTGAATCCTCGACTGATAACAAACAGGAGTTACAGGAAAATTGACAGATGCTGATCAGCTCAGGGACATCTTAACTTAGAGTATTTTTTTCTGGCTTTGATATGTGTATTGCAACCAACGAATACGCGGCTTTAACCTTATTGTACATAAAGTATGCCAGAACATGCAAATTAATAAAATAACGCAAAGTTTAAATTTGAAGGACGCATTACACATTGCAACGTAAAGACACAATACAAACTTCCTTGTTAATGACTACCCTCATTTGGTTCTTTCTAGTAAGTTTCTCAAAATGGAGCGTGGTGTTATTTTTCTCAAAAACTGCACAAAATGCGATTCGATCATAAGAGCAAGAACTGGATTTGAAGCTTACGTCAGCTGATTCGGGGTATGCCCCGTTACGCGACGGGAATGGGACACGAAGCAGGGAAAGGAGGTGGTAAAACACCTACAGATCTGTTTCTTGACATTTCAATGAACAGCTTTTGCTGCTTGCACGAACCAGTTTAACGAGGGAGACCTTGGACAGCAAAAGATGCAGCCTTACACTAAGCCTTTTTTAACGAATTCTACACCACTTCTATGTTTTGCCAAACAATGGATCGATGAACGACAACGTTTCAAATGAGTTGTGAGCACTTCGTACAGTAAACTGAGATAGCAAAGCAAGTTGTTTTTAGGGCCGATAAGCGAGCACCCTTTGAAGGTACATCCGGACAGAATCTCTGCTTCCGTTTTCTTGTCTTGTTCAGGCCTTTTCATAGCGCTGATCTCATGTAAAAAAGCTGAACCATGTGATATCGCAAGCATATGTAAGTATATGCAGCTTTACGAATTTGCTTCTATTAAAACTGAAGATTACAGGAAAACTTTGAGAGTTTCTCGACACTTTGGACAAAGAGGCGATTGTGCCCAGTGAGAGATTCAACGAAGGAGTGGTGGACAGAATGCAAGATCAATCAAATGGATGGATGATAAGATGAAAGAATGGATGAATATGAGCGAATGTAGAAATGCCCAGCATCAACAATGCCTGCTAAAAAATGGAGCTAAAGATCATTCGTCCTTGGGCGACATGGTCCGCGAAGACCTCAATCCCGGTCAATCTGGCAAGTAAAAGACACTCAAGTAAAGAAGCACCTATTACAAAGATCCTTTGCTGAGAATGCAAAAAGCGGAAAAGCAATCATCGGCGATAAATTCATTACCGGAACCATCATTATTCTACTGCAGCCGTCTATGGGAAGCACATTTTTGCAAGTAGGCATGAGATGATCTCAACAAAGAAAAGAATGTTATTATTATTCTACACCAGAACAATTCAAGGTTATTAGTAAACACCTTACTCACACTGCGTCTCATTTTTTTTGATGCATTCTTCGCGTGGTGACCACTTGCAATCAACGTACAAGTAAAAAATCTTCGACAGAACCTAAAACGCTTTTCTAGAATCTAAAAGAATTCCCTACAAATGAAACTATTTTTTGTTGGTAATTTTTACGTACAGCTTACTTTGCGTTTTATTTTTGCTTAAATTCGATGTAATGATTACTTGCAGTCGCACATAAGCAAAGAGGTTCCTCGAGTGGAAATTAAAAAACCTTCCCATAAGTTCTCGAAATGCGGGCTGATAATTGACGTCCTCAAAACCAATGGTGAGAGCATTTAGATCAAGGTTTAAAATCAAAGAAATCGAGTGCATGAAGCTTTTCATACACAGCTGTTTTGAATCCTTTAATGCACTGAAGAAATGATTGCACCACGTCATGTTGTGTGGTTTATTCAAATAAGTATGCGTCAATGTTCATAAATCAAGCACTTTCTTTCGCCTGTCATAAAGGCTAACGTACAAAATCAACTAAAATTATGCAGGCGACCAAACCTATAGTAGTTCAATGTACACTTCCATTCACAACGACATCACAAAAAAATTAGTGCGGAAAACGTGAAACTCACATGAGTTTCTCGCTAAAGTGCAGTCTTCGTGATGATTACTTTGCACAAAAACCAGTTAAATTTATAATAGTGGTTATAGAAAGTATAGTGAGCAGATGAACTAATTACTGTAAAATTACACCTACGCAGCCTAATTTACTGTGAATAATTCAGTAGTCGTCAGTACGTTTGTTTTGCTTTACCCGAAATAAGAAATGAGAAAATTCATTGGATAACATTGACAATATCACGGTCTTTGGTTTTATACCCGCTTAGAAATAAGAGAAGGCTGTAGTTATAGACCCGAGGAACATACTAAGATCAAACATATGCAGGGAAATATCTAGTTGAAAAAATCAAAGATGGAAAACCTTAGCTCACACCGGAGCAGGTAACATCATCAAGAAAATCCTGGTATGTTTAATTCAGGAGAGACTAGACAAAGATCACAGAGGTAAAGGAGTTGCATTATCGATTAAGTTATAAATTTCTCATAAAGGTGTACGACTTTTATAAACAATAGCATTCAAAGTATATTAACCGAGAAGAACAATAAAGCTCTTTGGAAATAGATATGATGAACTGACACCCCAGCTGACATAGAGGAACTAATAATAAAACTTGGATTCCGGCTACTACAAATCTCTTCACAGTCGACTTAGCAGCCGAATTACGATGAAGCAGTCTCGGGGATTGATGGGAGGGCTAAAATACATTAAATTATGATGTCGTCAGAATTATTTGCAACTCTACAAATTTATCTAGGTTCTATCATTAGCTAGTAAAAAAATCCTCATATCACCGGTGGAGAATCTGCTCTACGAATTTTTGTGAAACTTAAATCAAACTACATACTTTTCTGATAAAACACTTGGTATCCCCCCCCTCCTCCTCCGCATAGACTTGGTAACAGATAACTTTGACAATGAAGAACACTGATAGTAAAAAAAAATTCCAACTCGCTTTCCGCTTATTGTAGAATTCTTCCTTCTTTCGTTAACAGAAAACTTACTCAAGAAATGCGATCCGGCATCATGTCGGTCTGGACTTAGATATTCAAACATAGTTGGTGTTAGTCGACGTCGCAGGAAAGGGTCCGATAAACCACGACATAGTCGGGGTACGGCGAGTTTTCTAAAGAGGTTACACTAGGATTAAGCGATTCCGCGACGATGTGCATTTGCGTACCTTGCGCAGGATAGATTTAAACTTCGACTAGGGCTTCCGCGCCGCTCGGCAAAAGGAGAGTCGAAAGCGACAGCGAATGGTGATCGTCCGTCGGACGAAGTTCGCTCGAAGAACTGAATGCAGATAATTGAGATAGTCTTGTTTTACAAATCGAAAAAGCTCAAATCCAGAAAAAAAATCTATTTTGCTTCAAAATTTTTGAGAGCGCTCTCCTCACCTGAGTATCTTCTTCCTCTAACTCGGCAATTTCTTCAAATGAGCAAGTCATTGAACGAATTCGATCATCTCGTCGTACCATCTCAGATGGTCGAACTTCGGTGCTGAACTTGTGAAAGAGCGTGAACTGTCGTTGTTGAAGGTTTGCGGCTGTCATCTGTAATCACGGACTTTTTTACGAAGAGACTTGGAGTTATACGTAGCGATCTCTAGGTGAACAATGACATCAGCGAGACGGGGAAAAACACTTTTGGATCTGGTTTGGCTTAGATATTTCACTGTCTAGAATGAGAGACAGTGCTCTTTTTGTGAGAATAAAACTTTGAAAATAGGGAAGAATACGGTAGGATACGGTAATTCGCGATGATAAACCCTAACTCCCACAAGGAAATGGCTTAAATAGAATAGTAAATAAGGTGCAGTCAAATCGCAGGGTGTAACACGCAGAGATATGTACTTGCTTTATGAGCTTGCAACTCAGATTTGCACTCTCTGAAATTCCATTAGCGAGTAAAAATAACGCCAAATTAGAAGCGATGCATTTAGCAATGATGTCAAAGGTGGAGAGCTAATACGCAAGTGCAAACAGGCAAATTCACATGCGCAGATTTTTCGTTCAAAGCGTTCTCAATTATTTTTTCGTTACGCTAAAGCAACTTTATCAAACAAAGGCAATGTCCAAAGGTGATCGCTAAACAAAATGATGAATCAAGTTATTTTGAGAAAATATTGAATTACGAGCTTCTTAATCACTGCAAGTATCGCCCTTTCGTAGAAATCAATAAAATTTCATTTATCATCTGACAATTTGCAAAAAGTGATTAGTTCAAAAAGGATGATTGATGATAATTGGTAATTGAATTGACAGATTCCATCAAAAATTTCTCTGATGCTTCAGAGAAGAAGCACAGACCGCAATTTATTGCTCTGGAAGTGCAGGAAAACAAGACGGTGAAGAAAAAGCAGTACGCTTGCTGTCAGCATGGAGTAGAAAACGATTTTTAAGCGAGAAAAGGGATATTACAACTACAAAATCCTTCATCACTTGTCAAAATTTCCAAATTAAGAGAATAATGCGATGATCGAGTGGGATAGAACAAGAATACTTTCATAATATTTAGAATGTGGAATAAAGAAGAGAAGAGTTGTAAACATTCGAATGAAGTCAAAGAATAACATTATCGTAATCGAACAACTTACATGTGAACAGAACAGGTACCATTTAAGAAATATGTACATACCCCTTGAACCAGTTTCTGAACAATGGAAACTTGTGGGACCCTTGGATAGTTACTTAGATTTTCAAGTAAGAGATGTTCTCGAGCAACGATAAGAGATTTTAGCTTATTGTCAGTCTTTTTGAACCTAAAGCATTTCATTAATTTAAACCAAAAAGCCGTAGCTCGATAGAAAGCTAAAAAGCTGTGACACAACAAAGTAATTTTCCATGGCGAACTGATCTTCATATCTACTTATTGTTAAATTATGGTATATAAAAATACCGAAAACACTTCAAATGATTTTGACATATTGATTGCGAGCAAAAAACTACATCTTCTGAAAACAAGAGAGAAAAATGGGTATCTAAACCTAAACATTTTTGCAGTGCTTTAACAAATAAATAAAAAAGAGATAGAAAACTAGCGGTGAGTTTGCCTATTTCTGGATTGATAAATAGTCAAACTACATGTCGTATCTAATAAAATTCCCGGGTACATGCATGTTAGTCGTTAGGCTTGTCGAAGAACCTAAAATAGGAGTGGCAACTGATAAAGTCCACCATATTTTCTTTTCTCAAACTAGTAATGCGTTGTGAATTAGATATACAATTTGGGAAACAGTGCGAGAAACTCATAAAGTTTGTGGGCTTCGAGTACAATTCAAGATGTTTTAAGCAATATAGAATTAGAAAAGTCAACATCGAAAAATTGTGGAGTAAATACTCTTTGACATTCAACCTTAACTCGTAGATTTTCCTATGATGGTTGAAATCAACTCTTCCTCCGATTTCCGAGGTCGCCGGTAGGGATTTGTGGCAACCTAGCATTTTTTGCGCAATGACGTAAGCGGATGAGCCGAAGCTTGTCTCCTGTGATAGTGAATAATGAGGATAGCGCACTGTTAACCAAGTGGTGTAATTACACACCTAAGGAAAAGATGAAGCTTGTGACATCGACGGTGACGCTAAAAAAACTTTCCGAAAAAATATCCTTCCTAAGAAACTCCAGGGTCAAGAAAAACAAAAGCAATTCTACTTGACGTCTGGACTAATCATCTATCACGAGAACATGGGTTGCCACTGAGAAAGCGCTTTTTCTTATTTGAAAAATACTGCATGATTGTCAGTTAACCTATAGCATGATTAAACGTCATATGTTAATTTATAAGTGCACCGTCATTGATCACCATTATAAGGTCACAGGCATTAAGTCTGAAGCTGTCATTTGAAAAAGCTGAAGCTCTTCTACGTAATATGAAGCCGACAAATTTTTCACCTTACAGTCGTCAGTTTATTTCGAAATGACCAAAAAGTGCTTTTGCGGGCAGAGAGTGTGTCCTAAGCACAATAGACCCCCACTCCCTGCCACCACTTCGACCGCATTCGGTTTGTGATGACGACCGATGTAAACTAATTCATAATCGGATTTCAAGGTTTGAAGTGGTCGAACCCTGACTGTAGAGTCGTGATTAATGTTTCTGAACAGAAAACTCCAGAGAAAAGGAGCGATAGAAGCACCAGAACAAGAGAAAAGGGGGCGAAACTGCGATATAGGAAGGTGTTCTCCTATCCCTCGCTGTTCTCGTGGCTGAGGAAATTTTCGACAAGGATGATAAATATGTGAAAGTCAGATGCACGAACAATTTGATGCTCTAATGGCTCATTTCGTCTCCGTATTTGACTAATTACGATAAAATAATGCAGACAACCGACACTGTCAAAAAGAGAAGAGAATATCTAGTCACCACAGCACCAACGCAAGCTTACGGAGGCCCCGACGCATATATTAACATGCCCCACGCCATTGGACTTCTGAGTAGGGGTTTCCCGAGCTCGACAGTGACACGCTACAAAGCACGTGCACAGGCGCATGGAACAGCTCGGATTTGTATCTCAAATTTTTTTTAACACCCATGTGAAATCCACATGTAGCGGTAATGCTGGAAGCGTGAAAATAACGTGCGGAGGCAGTATCGCTACCATAACCTAAATTCAATGACATCGAACAACAATCTCAATCACGATTTCTGCGTAGTAAAAAGGCGCCGCCTTTTTTCTTTTCACAACTTCCAGTCATACAGTGTTTAGTCACCACAAATTAGAAGTTATGGGTTGATAGGGATCAATTTCAGATTCAAGAAGCTTTTAAATGATGTTTGACGTAGGACCCGTTCCCATAATTCTCTGTGTACTAATGAAAACGAGAAAAAACAAATGAACTTTACGAAAGATGGGCATAGAGTATGTAGTAGCGAGAGTATTTAGAAGTCATAGTCGTTCATAATTGGGCAAATTTGACGAAAAATGTAGAGCTCTGATTGTAAGAAATAACAAAGTTGCTGGCAACACCTTTCTTTTCATCTCATGGCCATATAAAATCTAGAGATCTCGGATGAAAATTCAGCTTCTTCTTCTAATTCTTCGTTAAAATGCCCAAATTTACGATAAATTTTGCTGTAGAAAATAAGAAATCTAGTGCCACTTGTACAGATATACCAAGATAAGATATACCATGACAGGTTGCATTTTGCATCGGTCAACATTAACTACACTTTCGAGCTCGCTGGGCCAAGGCTCCTTTACTTTGAACATCCGGTAAAATAAAAAATTATTTGAGAGAAATCACGACATCTTGATAGGTGACGCGACACGCGGAAAGCTTCTGTGTCTTAATAGGAAGGAATGATGACTCTAGGATTTGAGAAAACGACGCACGAGAAGATAGGCTTGCAAAACCATCAGAAGTAGGAAGGAGGAAGTGAAGCCCAGAAAGTCATTTAGGGTAATGAGCGTGCCACAATGACTCCATAGATGACCTAATGCGCTCGAGCATAAACTCAAACGCGTTACAGTAGTGAACAAAGTTCAATTGAAAGTAACAGCATTGCAAAAATATCTCGAGGAGCCAAAAACTGAAAGAAGTTCAGGCTGTTAGAGTGAGTATTCAATGTATTAGGGTGTCCGGAAATTAATGCAGGTTTTGAATTCCAACCACAGTAAGTCATACACTTCTCATTTCTAACTAGGTTGCAATATATCATTCGATAGAGCAAAGCAAGCTCTACAAGATGGCAATCTTGATTTAGCAACAACTCTAATCCACCACGAGTTTCGAGCCAGAAACTAAAAAGATTCAACTACTCAAAAAATTGAGAAAAATCGTAACTCAGTTCATAAAAATCCTACAAAAATCCTAACTCGCTCACGTAAACACTGTCCACATAAGACGTATATGTACGCCGTTGCCGTATTTTTTTCTCGGTTAGAAACCAAGAAAACGAAGATTTTCATGTTTCTGCCAAAGTGATCCTGTGCCGTTCCCACATAAGTAGTTGCATACTACAAACCTGTAGAAGTACAAACGTAAATTTCCAGCTCTCTACAAGCTTTAGCTCTCGAGAAATTTGAATTTTAGCTTGGACCACATGACTAGGAAAACTGTATTCGATATTTCTCGAGAACTAAAGCATGTAGAGAGCTGGAGATTTACGTTTGTACTTCTACAGGTTTGTAGTATACAACTACTTATGTGGGAACGGCACAGGATCACTTTGGCAGAAACATGAAAATCCTCGTTTTCTTGGTTTCTAACCGAGAAAAAATACGGCAACGGCGTACATATACGTCTTATGTGGACAGTGTTTATGTGAGCGATTTAGAATTTTTGTAGGATTTTTATGAACTGAGTTACGACTTTTCTCAATTTTTTGAGTAGTTGAATCTTTTTAGTTTCTGGCTCGAAACTCATGCTGGATTAGAGCTGTTGCTAAATTAAGATTGCCATCTTGTAGAGCTTGCTTTGCTCTATCAAATGATATACTGCAACCTACTTAGAAATGAGAAGTGTATGACTTATTGCGGTTGGAATTCAAAACCTGCATTAATTTCCGGACAACCTAATATCATTGCTTCTTCTATCTCTCGATTATCATACTTGCCGATACATGAGCTTTCGACCCGCTTGATAAAGTTTTAAATTAATCAAAACATGAGTTGGATCGCAACTGGAGTGCAGAAAAAAGCAGCCCTACTCCTTCGAAAAAGTGGGAAATACCCTAAGAGATAGGATATACAGGGTGTCCCAAAAGTATGTATCGAACGTTTGATCGTTAATATCTCTCTTCCCAAGAAGCCTTTTGCCTTGCTTCAAGTACCATTTTGTAGAGCTGGCTTCAACTTAGATTTGCATTAAAGAACGAATCACCCATCTCTCTTCATTACTGTAGGATTACGGTAGAAACTTGAAACATATGGTGTCAATGTGGAAAAAGCTGCAGTTCCAAAATTCTTCAAAAAATTGTGAAAACTTGTGTAATAGGGTTTTTATGGATGCTGAGTTCAATACTCAACTATTCACAAGATTACAAAGCTTTCTAAACGGTGTAATCGCACTTTTTAGGAACATTGAAAAAATGGCCGCTACCTCTTACCTGGCATAACTCTTCAATGAAGCATCATAATAAGTTGGGAACTTTACAGTTATAATCAGCAACTCTAATTAGCCTAGTGTGAAAACTTTCAGGCTGTTTTATTTCCTTTCTAAGGCAAAATATGGCCTTTCATTGCTTAAAACCCTCTTTGAAGTTTCTACCGTAATCCTACAGTAATGAAGAGGAATGAGTGATTCGTTCTATAATGCAAATCTAAGTTGAAGCTAGCTCTACAAAATGGTACTTGAAGCAAGGCAAAAGACTTCTTGGGAAGAGAGATATTAACGATCAAACGTTCGATACATACTTTTGGGACACCCTGTATATAGCAAAGTCAACAGTTGCGTGGGCAGAAAAGCGAGGGCGAGCTGTTGTTAATGCCATTTCCCCTATTCGGTGTTCCTCAGGCATAAAAAATCTATCTTTAGAATGCATGATGGCAGAAACAGCTGAGAGCTAAAAGCATAGTCCTTAGCAAACGTCAGAAGGAAGAGACCCTTGAAGATGACATACGTGAAAACTGAGATTCAAGAAGTCAAACATCAAGTGGAATTTGATAGACGAGTTCGAGAAAATCAAGACCTCAGGAGTCCAAGTCATAGCCTAAAGCGTCCACATAACATTCCAAAAAGACATATGTAAGAAGAAATTAAGTTTGCCTTAAGTGCTCTGCTAATGCAACGTGATAAGAGACAGAATTAAAGTCAAAATTTGTTAGAAGCAGAAAGCTGCCAAAATTCAAACTATACAATTTCATCGTAGGGTAGTAAAGCGAGGCTTGAGGAATATGATTTTTGAGATGTTTGAATAGAAATTCACCTGCGTTCTCGCGCATAATTGACTCAAAGATATCAGAAGCTTTCCGAGCAATCCTATTTTATATGCCGAAATTGACGCATATTTTCGAAGCTTTACTCTTTATTCTTTACTAAGAACGCAGGTTTGCTAGACGTCTCTGCTGAATCAAATACCAGACTTTGAAAAAACCTTTTACATGCAGACAAGAGTTTTTCCGTTGGTTTAAATTTTGTCGTGTAGAAGAACATCGCAAAAAATTAATTAGCTGGACTAGCTATCGACCACTTGGTCAAAAACACTGGGCATGGTGGCATAATCTGATAGATAGTATTCTCTGCCCTTGAAGTTTAAGAGCAGCAATAATCTATATTGATTTACACTCACCAAGACCGTGAAAGATTTTCTTGATATAAGCTACAAGTACGCTATACATATGGGCCAATTATACGGACATTGATCCTACAATATGATTTAATTACTGTAATTGTATCCACTCGAATTGAACAATGTTCGAATGTTATCGAAACTTTTGAGCATCTGGAGGCAATGTATAAGTCAGCATTCTTTTCAGTGATATAAGTAATTGTGAGAGATGTTCATGGTAAGGCTAGTGGTTAAACTTCCCCCCCCCCTCACCCTCCCTATCAAGATCTAAATTGCGAAACTCTTGTAATTGTTCTAATGATTTGCAAATCTGTCCAAATGAATTGTCTTGGATGTAAGGGGTGCAATTTGTAGTTTTATGAACTTCACTAATTTCGTGTTATATAGTTTGATAAAAGCAGGAAATTCTTGAAGACATAGCAAAGAAACTTGAGAGCGGAAAGCTCATTCTTTGTTTAGCTACTGCTAAAAATATGCATTCAAAAGTTCACCCATCTCAACCATCGCTGGAACAAATGAAAGAGCAAACGTTATTGAGAGAAGCTTACCGAAGGATTTCCGGAGCATGGCTCATATGCAGGTTCAGAAACCGCGAATTTTTGCTTAACTGATAGCTGATTCTGTGATCTTTTCAACTGTGAAGTAAATTCCAATAAAGTATTACTGCGGGACGAATTCAAGTAGGAGTATAGGCACTGAGCAAGCAAGCATGAGTACAAGAGTATTTCTGACACAGATTGACCGGACACCAAGATTGGCACAGGTGGCCCATAAGCAAGCTGGATATCGCTTTTCGGACAAAGGGGATATCGTTTTTGTGGCCCAAAAAACGTTTCGTTATTTTAAAGGTTTTTACGGTTATAGTTTCGGGTCAAAGGGATTAGTCAAATTTTGGGAAAGTAGGGGACTTCGTTTCTTGCATTTTCGGTAAGCCACCTCATGCCGAGCCCTGCTTCTGACCTACGTACATTTACACCACTTTTCTGCGGTTAAACATCAGAAACATGCAAGTCACGGTCATTAGCTCAAAGATGATAAAACTCATCTAAATCTCTGGAAATTGACCAGTAACGACAATGCAAGAATAAATAGAAAGAAGATGAGAAAGATGCATAACGAAAGGATAGATAGATGAAGAAACGATCGATAAATGGAGGGAAGAATGAGCGGAAGGATAAAAAGACATTTCTGACTAACAGTGAGGTTTGAAGTCCGTCCATGACTGATGTAGGGCGAACTTATATACCTAGCTTAATCCATTCGTAATAACAAATAAAAACGTTGGATTTATAAACACAAAGGATGCTTGTGACCATAGAGCATTCAATGCAAAATCAAGAAGCAAAATTCAACTTTTTCATAACATCACTATGTGCGATTAGCACTATTCGGCATAGTTTATAAGTATTTGCAAGATATTTTGCAGAAGAGATTGTTTTAAAAAGTACTCAGGGTACTAAAAGATATGTAGAGGTGAATGAAAAATAAGAATACAATTAATCGAAGACAAAATATTGCGCAATGATCGGAAATTTGCAGCTTGCTTTCACCCATGGGGGCAACTTTCTGTCCATTGGTTTACGTAAACCCTAGTCTTCTGACATAGATGCATCCATTTAGAAAAAAAACACGCGATTTCTCAAATTTGCGCAAAAGTCAGCACGCAAGTATCTCAAATGACTTTACTATAAATTCACAATCGAATTCTGTCTCACCACCAGCTGTATGCGCATGAATCTGAACGTCTCATAAACTAATTAAGGTTAGCTCTCAAAGAAAAAACCAATGAAACTCTTATTATGAAAGCTATCATATACTTATCTGTTTTGATTGTACGTAAGTAAAAAGGGGCACGTCATTTTGTTTGGTTTATTCAAATTAGTAGACGATTTTGTTGTTCATAGTACAAAAGCACTTTGTTTACTCTATCAGTGACGTTCACACACAAAATTCAGATGCAAATATATGTAAGTCCGATCAGACCTTTAATAGTTCAATCAACAGTTTTAGTTGCAGAGACCATGGACAGATAAAAAATCGTGAATATCACATGCATTTTTGGCTTCCATTCTCAAAATGAATATGTTTTCACGATTTCCGAGACAGACAACCAGTTTGATTAAGAACAGAACTTCTGATGTATACAGTTACTTTTATAAGCCCGCAAAGAAATCTTTAGACTCTTATTTACCCTTGCTTTATTCGAATAAGAACTCAATAATAAGCTTAAATCTCCTTAGGATGAGATCGGGCATGTTTTACAAAAAGAGAGATTTTGGTGTTTATTGTCTACAGAGTATAAGAGTCATCCTTCAAATCCCGCGCATTCGTGCAATTCGTGTCTTGATTCGCTTAATTTTTCCTACTTGTACGAAATGTCATAAATTTCTGCTGAATTTCCGCAAGTATGCCAAAAACAGGGTGTCAGAAATATAGGCAAAGATCCATCGTTGCCATGCCCTGGAGGTTTTTCCAAGCATTCCAATTTTAGAGTTCAGAGCAAAGGTGATTTGCACTCTAGGAACCTCCGTGAAACCTATTTGGCATATTTGTTCCCGACAGCAACAGTTACCAAATAATAACTTGATGGGGCTAAATGCCCTCTCAAATCTAAAGTTCACTCGAAGGCTGCAGCACCCAATCTGAACCCTACAACAAATCCCAAGAATGACCACAGCTTATCTTCAAAGAAAAATTATATATTGAAATAAGCTTCCCGTAGTTGAAAGTCTCAAGTATAAAGTGCATGGTGCTTGGCGTGATTCAGCAATAAAAAATGCGAAAGTGAGTCATTAAAGTCTTTTCTAAAATTCAAAACGAATGCGAAGGTCTACGAAAAGACCAAAAATAAAGTCTGAATTTATTTATTATAAGTAACCTTTGTTGACACATTGCGATGATCATTTGTGCATGCTAAGTAAACCATTCAGAGTCACGCCTATCGCAAACAGATGATGATGATGTACACTTCATTAACCCGTTCAAGAATTATTCAAGGCTCTATAAACCCGCAGAACACATTCAAAATAACATCGTAACAATCAACTAAACGTAGAAAAAACATCATGAATCCAAATTGGATCGCGTACTTTTTACAAATAAATAGATGCCGTTCTACAAAAAGAGACTAGATGGAGATTACAGAAGTAAAATAATCATGATATCATTTCCGCAAAGAGCAGTGGTCAAAGGTGTTTGATGATTAACAGAGACAAAAGATCTCCTTATAGGAAAAATACATAGTAAATAGACCAACATATAATTTAGCTGACAGCTCAGCTGATATGAGAAATAGGCTATAAAACTCGAAATTCGGCTACTGATGGATCTATTTGCCATCAGATTAAGACGAGGCTGCCTCGGGGATTGACGGAAGAGCTGAAATCACAAAATTATCGTGTTTTTTTCTAAGTTATTGAGATAAGATCGGACTACCGCTTTCGTTATGTATCTAGAAGTAAGATGTTTATCTTCCAAAATTTCTAGGCAAAAGTCGAGCCACATACTTTTGCGCTCACCGTCACTGTGTTTCCACGAGACTTCATTAACAATGAAAAAACTTGGACATTCAAAAAATTACAAAATGATTAGCCGGTCCCCCCCCCCCCATGATGTCAATGATTATTGCCATGGGGTGATTTAGATCGTACGGAAGTTTTCCAAACGGAGATGCAGTGGAATCCTGTTTTCTCCTTCGATACAAAAAATACTTACTCAAAAAATGCGATCCATTATGCTGTTCAGGACTGAGAGATCCAAACATAGTTGATGCCTGTCGGCAATGAAAGCTTGGATCCGAAAATCCACGACATAGTCGTGGAATAGCAAATTCTCTGAAGAAACTATATTATACTATACTATATTACAACGCGTACCACAATTAAGTGCAATTGCGTACCTCGCGCAGGTAGGGCTCACGTTACGAGAGGAAGTTCCGCGCCGTTTAGCAAAGGGAGATTCGAAAGCGACAGCAAATGGTGATCGGCCATCGGGTGTAGTTCGTTCAGGGAGCTAAAAACAAAAGTAGTAATTCTGAGACAGATGACTCGACTGCTTTGTACCCTAAACTTTTCACATGCTTTCAACACAACTTTTCTTCTCACCTGGATATCCTCCTCCTCAGACTCGGCTATGTTCTCAAATGGACATGTCATTAATCGAAGATCATCTCGTCGTACCATCTCAGATGGTCGAACTTCAGCGCTAAACTTGTGGAACAGCGTGGGTTGTCGTTGTTGTAGATTTGTGGTTGTCATCTGTAATTACGGAATTTTGAATAAAGAAAAACATGAACGAAGCGCAAACTTCAAGCGAACAATAGAGTGGATTTCAGATTATATGAAGTGGATTATAAAGGACAGGCTAAATTATCAAGCGCTAAAAAAACTGTAAAACTATAATGATTTTGAGCTTGGCATTCCTAGTAAAAAAATACATTCAAAAACTTCTTATTTTATACTTATTTTTAGTTTCTAAGGTACCTGGATAACATAAGTATGTAGGCTAAATGGAACAGATAATAAATAGATAGACATTTGAAAATGCATAGAATGAGGTGGCATGTGAGAAAGATGTATATGTAAGCATGGAATTTATATGAGGGTGAATTTTTTTGTTGTTTTTCCATACATTTGTAAGCTCGCACAGAATTTCCTTAAACAAAATTCATCGGCGAGTCAAGCTAGCAAGTAAAAGTAGTGAGGTTCAGCAATGATGTCAAAATTTCATTTACAGCATTTATTTACGCACTTCGTTGCAGCACAGAACGATCGTCACACTACACAAAGACAATGCTCCACCATGACATACTGGTTTGCTGTTCCTTAGAACGATGCATCATATTTACTTTGACAACTACTCCAAAGCACGATTTTGAGTGTGAATGGTGCAAATATCGCAGGAAACGCTATAAATTATAAAACAACGCCATAAATCAGCTGACATTTCGCGAAAAGCGACCAGTTCGAAACGGATGATCGATGACTATTGGTAATCGTTCTAACAGGACTTATCGGAGAGTGCTTTGATACCTCAGAGAAGAAACACAGATGGAGATTTGGTGTTTTCAAAGCGCAAGACATCATTTTATTAGGTTTCATGAAAGAATCATCGAATTGGCAGAATGTTGTTATAAGTGCTTGCTATAGGTTTAAAATGAAGTTACGGTGGCAGCAGGACAAAAAATTGCGATGACCGCGTGAAATAGGAGTCTTTAAAAATAGGAATAAACTAGCTGGCTTACCCGGCTCCGCCGTATCCGGACCAAACTTGGCACACATACACTTCGGGCCCCGGCGGGTGTCACAGTCCACTTTTCGTTATCGATCGATGTCGATTTTACCGATTTTTATCGATTTTTTGGCAGAGTTCACCTTCAGGGCTAGGAGTTGGCACAGGGGGAAGTGAGCATGGGGATTCCGAATACAATATTAGTTTTCAGAATTATCGATTGCTTTTATTGATTTTATCGATTTTTTGGCAGAGTTCACCTACAGGGCTAGGAGTTGGCACAGGGGGGAAGTGAGCATGGGGATTCCGAATACAATATTAGTTTTCAGGATCGTCCATTACTTTTATCGATTTTATCGATTTTTTGAAAATTTGAGCTAGGGGGCTGGAATTTGGCACGGGGGTGTTCGAGCATGCTGATCACCCCCCTTGGGGATGATCAGCATGCGCGATTACCCCCCTGTGCCAACTCCCAGCCCTCTAGCTCAAACTTTGCAAAAAAATCGATAAAATCGATAAAAGTAATCGATAATCCTGAAAACCAATATTGTATTCGGAATCCCCATGCTCGATTACCCCCCTGTGCGAACTCCCAGCCCCGTAGCTCAAACTTTGCAAAAAAATCGATAAAATCGATAAAAGTAATCGATAATCCTGAAAACCAATATTGTATTCGGAATCCCCATGCTCGATTACCCCCCTGTGCCAACTCCCAGCCCCGTAGCTCAAACTTTGCAAAAAAATCGATAAAATCGATAAAAGTAATCGATAATCCTGAAAACCAATATTGTATTCGGAATCCCCATGCTCGATTACCCCCCTGTGCCAACTCCCAGCCCCGTAGGTGAACTCAGCAAAAAAATCGATAAAAATCGATAAAATCGATATCGATCGATGACGAAAAGTAGCCTATGACACCCGCCGGGGCCCGTAGTGTATGTGTGCCAAGTTTGGTCCGGATCGGTTCAGAAATGGAATTTTCTATTCGGAACATACGTACATACATACATACATACATACAGACAGACATACAGACAGACATACAGACAGACATACAAACAGACATTCAGCTTTATATATAAGATAAAAGGAGAGATGTCAGCACCCGAAGATGATATGACACCATGAGCATTATCTATCGGCTTGCACTAGTTCGTAAAAGTACGATTTATCGAGCCCGTGCCCTGAATCAAAGAATAAATTGAAATTCGAGAGAATTTCCAGAATGCAGTTAGAAAGTGAAAGTATCCAGGAAAGATGCTTCCCAAACAAAGTATCGTTCAGCAGAGAATAATTACGTGGGGATTACTTTGTTTTTAACTGCTCCTAATTTTTATAAATATTTACAGAAATTATGGGAATGTACCTCTACTAACTTTAGTAATCACTAAATCCAAGATGTTGGTGTTGCAAAGGTTGAAATGTACAGGAAATATTTTTGATTGAAAATCTAGTAGAAAATCGCATGCTTTGACATTTTCTCGCCTGATAGGTTCTGCAATCAAGCAATAAGAAGAAATGTCAAAATGTTTCCTCTTTAAAGTTCCGGAAAAGTAAAAAAGAGTCAACACGGCGTTACGAAACGTACTAATGCAACACTCTAATAAAATCAGGACGTGCCCGTACCTTTGAGCCCTCAAAGGATAGATGCCGCCGAGAGCAGAAGAAAGCCAAAGAACACAGAAAGTAGTTGAAGTGTCCACACTCACTTTGACAATCACGAACTCGGCTATAAGTCTTAAATACAGGTGCTACGTACTGACGACAATCCTTTGTTTTATGTTCTGCAGGCTACGCCCATCTCGCCACGCCCTTATAGCATGTGTCATGCGTTAGAAAAAGAAAGTAGTCATGCAGGCAAAGAACACTCTGAGACGAACTAGCTCCTTGATCTTGAAAGGTTAATAATTCGGAAAAAAGTCTCAACATTTGTTACTCCTCTTTGATAACTAAAAGTGACTCTTTTTCCCCCTTTCAGGAAGCTACCGCATAGTCGCAATTATCCGAGGAGTTTTCTGACGACATCTAGTTTTTCTATTCGTTTCTAGTTATCCATAGCAGCCATTATTTCTCGTGCAACTACGTACTTCAAACGGATGAGCAGGGGCCTTTTCAAGTAACATTACTCAGACACTCGCACCGGTCGGCGACCGTCCGACGACGGCCTTCCGGCCGGCGGCCGTTCCATAATTCTGGGCGAAGCTAAATCCGGCCGGTGACCGCTCCAAAAAAATCATACCGGCCGGCGGCCGATCAGACGGTCGCCAGCCGGTATATATCTAGGGTCCATGAGCCAAAGTGCGGGAATTGCGTGAAATTCAAACATTACATGATCGAGCCTCATAGGGAAAGGCGCGCTCTACTTTCTTTTTATTTATGTAGTTGCAACTTCTTTGTTTCGTTTATGTTTCTGTTTATGTATGTTTATCTGGAGATTATGAGTGCTGCGGTGTCACTGGAAGACGCTCAGAATTTCGCCGCATTATGAGTTGAGGTTATCCCATTTCACTGTATTCTTTTTCAGAGTCGAAGGAAAAAATAAGACTTTGTAGTCCTTACTTTTTGAAAATTGGCATCGTACTTGTCTTAAATGTTCAAAAATAAGGGATACCAAGCTGAAACGTGCTGCTGGCAAGGTATAGAGTCTAGGTTTGCGTTTATTTTTGATAATGAAAAAAAAAACCAAAATGACATGTTTCAGAGACAGGTGCGTTATTATGCTGTATGTGTCTGAAATCTTATTCTACTCATGGAACTTGATCATGGTCATCGGGATCAACATCTCACTCATGCTAACGACTATGGCCTTTCAACTGTCGCTATTCTTCGCAGAATGCGCTCACGGACTACTTTTCTTCTGCTGATTATTCTAGAACTCCGCTGTATATCTACGGATGTTGAATATATCTCATGTTCTACGAATTCAGTTATTCCTATGCCTATCATTGCGTACACTCCAGCAGTTATGTAAGTGGGTTTACATCGATCATTTAACAGAAACTAATCTTGGTCAGTGATTTAGGGGAAACATTCAGTGAACGCCTCCTGGAATAGGCCTTTGGGTTGCTCCGCTCACTGATAAACAGCAGTTCCTGAGCAGGTAAGTCTTGGTATCAATGATCTTATTTGTGAAAAGCTTATCTCGTTTGCAGATGTCCGTTGTGAGATGAGCGTCACCCCCTAAAGGATATAGAGTGCAGCACGTAGTCAACTCGAAATGAAGCGGTCCGATGTGTACCTTTTGCGTCGAATGGATGTTCACATGTGCAAAGAAACGTCATCTTCTCGTGGATATAAGAAGTTTCCAAATTTCATAGCTTTATTAGAGGCATATTGTATTAGATTTTACGTACCAGTATTATTTGTAAATATTCACTATGTATGCTTGTACAATAAATGGATATGTTTTTGCGGTTCTGTACTACGTTTTGTAATTGGGGGGGGGGGGAGGGGGAAAGCGAAGGCTGCAAAAGAAGAATCGCGCCCCACAACCATTTTGTTGCGCGACTGACACATACCGGCCGGCGGGCGTAGACTACGCGGCTGAGTGAAATTAACTGTGGTCCCACCAGCCAATCTTTGTGCGGCCGCCGGCCGGTGCGAGTGTCTGAGTACGCTTTTGCGTGAATGGTGTAATTACACACTGAAATCTGAAACTTTGGCATTAGAGTGATAATTTTTTTATTTCACGCTCGGCGTGTTTGAAGCACCATTACAAAGGTAAAAGATTCCAATAGGTGATGTAAGACAGGGGGGGGGGGGGGAGCAGAGTAAAGAATGGGTCCAGCTAGACCGATGAAGATGATCAAGGTAGATAGACCATAAAACATACGACACACCCGTTGGTCTACAGTAATTTATGTGTATGATTTGTGGAACTGGACCGTTTTTGGCTCACGCATGATTACCATTGAGAGTTCCATTTTACGTCTTGGCACGTCTCATAGACCAAACCTTACGCTTTGAACCGAATTTTGTTAAACTATTAGGTTGGTGCAAAAATAATGAGCGTTTTCTTAGAACTTTTTTGAGGACAACTTTTCTCCATCAAACGTCTTTCTTTTTAACGGTTTCAGCACATTGTTAGAAAGCTCTTTTCATGCTCTATCTAAAGGTGTTCGACAGGGGCTTCTAGCCCACTCTGTTAAGAATTTATAGAACTTCACATAATCGCACTCAAAATTAGATTTTCGTTGCATTCATTTTTCTGGCCAGAATTTGAGCGCGAATGAAGGTGGTTTATCGAAAATTTAGCCGCTATATGTAATGGAAATTGTCTACAATTATGCATTTTCAACCATATTTTTTCAAGTTATCTAAAGTGAGATATCGGCGGCTTAACATGGGTAATGGTTGTGATCATTTTAGAGCCCATAACTTTCTTTTGTTGAATGCAGTCGCTCAAACTCTGCTCATCTCTGTAAGCGTGAGGGTAGGAGTCCCATTAGCGGTTTTTGCAAAAACATCCAGCTTTTCAGTACGCAGAAAATTAAAAAATTCTCTACTTCGGGGTTTCAAGGCCTACTGAAAAAATGCTAAAAAAGTTAATAATTTTGAATTTCGATTTTTCCCTCTTCGCTAATCTTTTTTCTGCAAGCCCTTCTTATGTATATTTGTACTACTGGCTTGCGACTACAAGATAGGCTTCTTATAAATTATAAGAACAAAGTGTGAAAGGAGTTATGTTCTGTCAAAAACAAGGCTTCAGAAAAAAATTCTTTTTGTTTTTCAGTCCATATGTTTCTGCCCATATAAGATATGAGCATAGTTCAATGTGCGCTGTACTGCGAAAGGTTCGGTGCATCTGATGGTCTTTATCGCATTTCAAAATGTAGATTTTGTAGAAAGTTATAGGAAATTAAAATGAGAAATGGGAAAACGCTCATTATTTTTGCACCAACCTAATATATGGGTAACACATGACATGTATGGTTTTAGAAAAAATATGCGTTTCAGAAAGTATTTAAGGATCCGTAAACAAGTTGAACTTTGATTCTTCATTTCAGTCGATACTTACGCTACCTTTTTAACATTGGTCTACAGAAAAGTATTTTAAAGTTGATGAAAAGTTCAGAGAAGATGACAAGGTTCGAAAAAACTTGGTGCGAATGAGAACTAGTTGGAAATATCGGAAGTTTTCTCCATTTGATTTATACAAAGTAAGGGACTAAATCTAGGTATGATAACTGCCTTAAAAGTCACAAATTTTTTTCTCTTATCATTATTTCCGGTCAAATGACATTGATTGGTCATACTAAATGAACCAGATCAATTTCTAAAAAAAGTTTCTATAACATTCAATTCTGTCTAGTACATAACTTATTCCCACAATTTCTGTGTACGAATGAAAAGGAAAAATTCTTTTTTGGTGCAACGCAAATTTTCACACAATCTGAAGAAATAATAACAAATGAGTCGGGGAGAAGAAAGCGACGACTAATTTTGATCTTTGGCTTAATTGCGCCATACAGACATCATATAAATCTCATATGACAAATGAGGCCTTGCTTTTGCAATTAATTCAATAAAAAGCTTCCCTTAACAAAAAGGATAGTTACTGAGACCTGAGAGCTAAAGAAGCAGCATGACTATCTACGTTTAAATCTTCACTTTTACATTTAAATCCGACAAAACTTCCTTACCAGTTTTTTTTGTATGTTATTTTCTAGAATAGACATGGAGGTAAACATTTATAGCATTGTAGAGGGAAATTGAGTAGGGGAGTGGGAAAGAGAGGAGGAAAAGAGAAGCTCAAAATGCTTGTTGTGAACAATCTTATCAGCGTGCGGAGAATGAGACACACGAGAAGAAGGTTCTCAATATTGGTTTTGAAATACGATTCTAAACAGAACGTAAGCTCAGTAAGAAAGGGTTTCGTTTTAAACGATAATGTTAGCGAACAAGGGAATGCAGCAGGTAAGCAAGAAAGCGGAATAAAATTGAACTCTTAAATTTTTGCAATAGCGATTCACCCAAAAAAGACAATTTTGACATTTCATTCTTGATTTTGTTCGCCAAAAAGTACATAGCTGCCTTAGCATCAAAATTTATAAAAAGCTTTTCGTGCAAAATCGTTACGATAACTCTTCTCCGCCTATCTTTCAAGCCCCATATTTTTGGCTTCCATCATCCAAACTCTCAAGATGCGGAACTTGTATTCACGGCCAGATATATGTGCGAGGTAAAATAGTAATTTAGTTTTGGTTTTTTAAGCTCGAGCTTGTTCTCGAGCGCAAAGTACCTGAGGCAACTGGAAGTTATGTAGAAGTATATAAAAAAATTCCAATTCAATTATTCGAAGACAGAAAATCACACAATGATAAAAAATTTGCAGCTCGCCCACACTCACGATGGCAACTTTCTGCCACTTTTTTACGTTGAACACTTCTCTTTCGATTTAAATGCATCCCGTTCAAGAAAAACCTAAGTCATCTTTCAAAATTTTTGCAGAAGTTAGCACGCAATACCTCTGGATCTTATTACAATTTTATAAGCGGAACCTCTCAACCGACTCATGCGCATGACTTGAACGTTCTATAAAGTAATGATGGTGAAGGATTAGGAGGACCATGAATCAAATTAAACACTCTCGATATCCAGTCAAAAAATTATCTATGCATTCCATAAGAATATTAGGCAAGATGACTGTTTCACGTCTTCTTGTCTTGCTCAGTCTAGTTAGTAAACGATCCGTTCACAGTACAAAAGCACTTTGTTTACTCTATCAGTGACGTTTACACACGAAAATCGGATGCAAATGTATGTAAGCGATCAAATCTGTGATAGTTCAATAAACAATCCTTGACAGACCGCGAACACATGAAAAGTCGTGAAAATCACAAGCATTTTGGCTTGCTTTTTCACAAACAATACGTTTTCACTATTTCCGAGACAAAAAAACCAGTTAGAAATGTACGAACTTAGTCTTATAAGTCCGCAAAGGAATCTTTGAACTCATATTTACACTTGCTTTATACGAATAAAGACGAATTATGATAATGTTAACACTCCCGCAGGTGGACAAAAAGTCACCGAAATCGGGCATGCTTCGCAAAAATGAAGATTTACGTGTTTGTCGTCTACAGAAAAATTAATAGTCGTCTTTCAGCTCGATACATTCGTG